AAAAAATTGACTAGATTAATCAATAATTTTTTGATTTTATCTGAAAAAGGTTATGCAATTTGCCTATCAACTAAAAATACTTTATAGTTAAGAAAATTGATATGTTAAGGGAAAGCTAATTAATGGTTTCTATTACTTTATTCGTATTTACATTTTTTCAGAATTTGAAACAATTAAATATAGAATAATTGAAATAGTTTTTAGTAGTTCTTTTTAAAATCTTACAAATTTTAATTATTAACAAAGTTAGAGACAAAACAAATAAAAATATTTTTTTTTAATAGATTAAAAATATTATTCCTCTCTATAATCATTAAAATATATTCTATAATTTTTTTTTAAGGCATAATTCAACTTCTTTTATTTGAATTTGAAATCAGCTAAAGGCACTCATCAATTAAGGATTAAAGCTCATTATCATCATCTATCATCATATTAGATATCTCTAATTTAAAATTAAGATGGGTCAATCAATATTTCTACAAGAATGATTTATATTTTACCAATAAGCTTTTTTGAAGATTCTTATCCTTAACAATAAAAAAGATTCTTTAGAATAATAAATTACCCAAAACTTATCTTTATGTATTATCAGGCATTTTTAAGAAATCTTCCATCTTGCTTTAAACTTATTAAGAATCCATTAATTCTTATAACAAAGTTGATTAAAGAAAAGATTAAGATATGCCTTTAATTATATTTTTTTGATATAAATAAGTTCTCTGTTGCTAATTGCAAAAAAACTAAAATTGTTTTAATTATTTGGATTGATTTTTTTTTTAGAATTTTTATTTGTTCATAACTTATTTAATAAATCAATTCAAATACCTCTCATCGAGTATTTAAAGAGATAAATTTTGATCTATGCATTATTCCTAAAAGAAAAGGAATTATAAAATTTATTTGTAAAATAAACAAGTTCTTAGGGTTAGAATATAGAAATTTTTAAAGAAGTTGATAGTTAATATACTAAAATATATGTTAAATAAGAATTAATTCAACTATTAAAAGGTTATAAATTGCCAAAAATAATTAAAAGGTTTGAACTTTTAATTAAATTAGTTAAGATTGTTAATGAGTAATTAAAAATACAATAAATTTAGTATTTCTTAGATTTGAATTTTAATTGTAGATAATATTAAAACGTATATCATAAATGAGCACTCCTTCAATAATGAAAATAATAGGGTTAAATTTTATCAAAAATATTATAATTTTATTCTCAATATAAAAATGAAAGATAAATTAGTAAAAAACTTTAAAATAAAATTAATATACTCTCTTTGATTTTTATGAAATATTAACAATTGTTATCACAATAAAAAATTAGGCAAAAATCTTAAATAAGAAAGTTTTTTATTAAACTTATAAACCTTTTTCTTTTTATATGGCTATCGATATATAATTATAAAGGAAAATTATTTAAACAATTGACTGAATTACAATTCTAAAGTATTAACATAGAAATAATTCTATTGCTTATATATTTTTTACAAATTTGCAATTTCTGCAACTATAATTATAATAATAACAAGATTAATCAACAAAAGCTTAAAATTAATATGGAACAAGTTATATTAAGTAAAGAATACAGAATTCATGCTTTTAGATAAAGATCTTTTAAAATTGAATTATTAAATTAGTTCACACATTCAATATCATTTATTTTATTCTAAAATTTATAACAATACTAAATATAAATTTCATACAATATTTTGATAATTAATTCATAATTCTATTTCACTAATAAGTTAATTCATCCTTTTGGTTTTCTATTTTACCAAAAAATAAAAAGTTATTAAAAGTATGATAATAATAGAAAGCAGAGTATAATACCAGTGTTACTTTTTTTCCAAATTAGTTAATTAATATGAAAATTTAAATTCTCCTCTTGAAAAATCATTATAGCAATTCAATTTTACATTAATTTATGCTTTATTTATTTCTAAATATACATGTTATGCTATATTTAGAGCTAAATATATAAGTTTTGTTATATTTTTAAACTAATAATAAATAATAGAATTATTTTAAAAAGTTTTAATGGTTTCATTCTTAAATGCTTTATTAATTTTCATCCCAAACTTGCAATATATAAATTATATTAATATTAATAGATTAACAAAGTTTCAATTACCAGATGGTGGGATCAATTATATTATCAAAACTTAAACTTTATTTTTCTAGGTTGTTTTTAAAAAATAATATCCAATTTGTTTGATTAATAAAACTGGTTATAAGTAAAAGTTTAGATCTTTGTTTATCTAAGATAGTAATTTATGAGAACAAAAATTAAAAATTATAATTAAAAACTTCTTAATAATAATCTAGATCTACCTTTTTTAAAAAAATACTAATTTTCACCCAAAATCATTATTGAATAATACAGTTAGTAATATGAATCGAAAATAAGCACAACAATACCTTATTAGGAATTATCAATAATATTAGTCTAATATGAAGAAAAAGCACAAAAATCTTCGTATTAATATTCCACTATCTAAATAAAATCTTCATTGTGGATATTCAATAAATATTATCAAAATTATTTAATACATTTATACAATAGTCATCCCCAAAATAAATATTTTAAACTGTTATGCAA